GGGGCTGGGTGGAACGAACGGGCATATATTGATATATTCTGGGTACAGTTGAACCCGGAGGTCCGGCGGGAGATGGCTTGTAAGGATGCTACCCTCTCCTTTGAGGAGCTTGTCGAGCTTGCTATCAAGCTCGACAATCTCCTCAACGCTCGCGGACGCTCTGGGCCCGACCCCGTCGTTCCACACAGCTCGACTGTCGCTCCAGAGCCTATGGAGTTGGGAGGCGCCGCGTCCAGGGAGACCGCGCGGCCTCAGGAGTGCACCTTTTGTGGTAGAAAAGGGCACTCTGCCTCCCACTGCTACAGGCTGGTCGAGAGAACCAGGGAAGGGAGGTCTGACACTCCTGTGACGAGGAAGGTAAGAACACCCCACACTCCGTCCGGGTCTTCTGACGCCCACAACTATTACTGTGTGTTTCCCGACTTCGCCGCTATCTCCCCAGTGTAAGGCGCTCGTAGATTCAGGCGCAGCTGGGGATTTCATGGATCAGACATATGCCAGCACGTTACAGATTCCGCTGGTGCCGTTGGCCTGTGCCCGAGCCATCACGGGGCTTGACAGTCGGCCGTTAGGTTCGGGGATGGTGACGCAGGTGACGGTACCGGTAAGGATGGTCACGCAACACACACACACAGAAATTATTACATTTCAAATCATTGACTCACCTTCTTTTCCCGTAGTGTTGGGTATGCCCTGGCTATCCCGACACAATCCACAGTTTGCGTGGCCTCAGAGGACTTTGACGGGGTGGTCAAGGGAGTGTCAGGGAAGATGCCTGGGTGTTTCCGTCCAGACAGTGTCTCCTCTGTGCGCATTCCTTACGAATATTCTGATCTGGCCCTCGTATTTTCTAAACAATTGGCTACCAACTTACCTCCCCATCGACCGGGGGATTGCGTGATAGAACTGCAGGTAGTTGCTGTACCTCCATACAGTCACGTGTATCCCCTGTCTCAGGCAGAGACGCAAGCGATGGAGACGTATGTGTCCGAGTCATTGAAACAGGGGATGATCCGCCACTCCACCTCCTCAGCATCCTCGAGCTTTTTCTTTGTAAAAAAGAAGTACGGCGGTTTGACTATCGAGCACTTAACAACATTACAGCTCGCTATCGGTACCCTCTCCCACTGATTTCGTCTGTAATCGAGTCAATGCACGGGGCACGCTTTTTTACAAAGTTAGATCTCAGGAGTGCATATAATTTGGTGCGTACCTGGGGGGGAGATGAGTGGACAACAGCCTTTAGCACTACAACAGGGCACTACGAGTACCTGGTGATGCCGTACGGGTTGATGAATGCGCCGTCGGTTTTCCAGTCCTTCGTGAATAAAATTTTTCGGAACATGATCGGCCGCGGAGTGTTCGTCTACATAGATGACATCCTTGTGTATTCGGAGAACCGGACTGATCATGTTTTGCTTGTTCGCAGAGTACTGGAGCGACTGAGGGTGCATGACCTGAATGCCAAATTGGAAAAGTGTCTGTTTTTTCAGCGAGCAGTCTCCTTTCTCGGGTTCCACATTACTACGGGGGGGGGTGGAGATGGAGGTTGATCCCGTGGCTGCCGTGCGTAATTGGCCCGTTCCAACCACGGTAAAGGCGGTACAGCGGATAATCGGTTTCGCGAATTTCTACCGCAGATTCATCAAGAATTTTGTCAAGGTAGCAGCTCCCATTACATCATTGTTGAAGGGGGGGCCATCTCGGATTCGTTGGTCGAACGAGGCGGACCGCGCGTTCAGTACATTAAAGATGCTGTTTACTTCCGCGCCGGTGTTGGCTCACCCTTATCCATCACTTCCCTTCATAGTGGAGGTGGATGCATCGGAGGTTGGGATTGGTGCTATACTGTCCCAGCGTTCGGGCACCCCTCCCAAAGTCCGTCCCTGTGCGTTCTACTGGCGGAAACTCAGTGCGGTGGAACAAAACTATCACGGGGTGATAGGGAGCTGTTAGCTGTAGTCAGAGCTCTGACAGAATGGAGACATTGGCTCGAGGGAGCGAAACACCCGTTTGTAGTCTGGACTGACCACCGTAACCTGGAGTACATACGGGCTGCGAGGAGGCTTAACCCTCGCCAGGCCAGGTGGGCATTGTTCTTCACACGTTTTGAGTTTACGTTATCGTACATTCCTGGGACGAAGAATGTCAAGGCAGACGCGCTGTCCAGACTATATGACACACATGAGAGGCAGGTTGATAACTCACCTATTCTTCCTGCTTCCTGTATAGTGGCACCGGTGATGTGGGAGGTCGATTGCGGACATCCAGCGCGCATTACGCAAGGATCCATCTCCTCCTCAGTGCCCAGAGGGGCGCGTGTACGTGCCGCTGGATGTTCGCGACCGTCTCATCTGCTGGGCCCACACATCGGTGTCCTCGGGTCACCCAGGCATTGGTCGGACAGTTCGCTGCCTTACCAATAAATATTGGTAAGGATGTGAGGTTGTACGTGTTCCGTGTGTGCCCAGTGTAAGGTACCTAGGCATCTTCCGGCGGGTAAGTTACAACCTTTGCCCGTTCCACGGCGACCATGGTCTCACATTAGTGTTGATTTTTTTGACTGATCTCCCTCTCTCCCAAGGTCACACTACAGTCCTGGTCGTTGTGGACCGTTTTTTTCAAAGGCCTGCCGCTTCCTGCCCCTGAGAGGTCTCCCGACAGCCCTGCAGACCGCAGATGCCCTGTTTACTCACGTCTTCCGGCACTACGGGGTTCCGGAGGACATTGTGTCAGATCGGGGCCCCCAGTTCACGTCCAGTGTATGGAAGGCGTTTATGAAGCGCTTGGGGGTCTCGGTCAGTTTGACCTCCGGGTACCACCCTGAAGCTAATGGGCAAGTGGAAAGGGTGAATCAGGATTTGGGAAGGTTCCTGAGGTCATATTGTCAGGACCGGCCGGGGAAAATTCACTCCGCCACTCCTCTACTAACCTAACACCATTTCAATGTGTCCTAGGACACCAGCCGGTTCTGGCACCGTGGCGCAGAGTCAGGCCGACACCGGGGTGCCGGCAGTGGACGACTGTTTTCGTCGTGCTGAGGCGACATGGGACGCTACACACACCCACCTACAGCACGCCAAACAGCGCCAGAAAACGTCTGCTGACCGGAGGCGCAGTGACGCGCCCGTCTACGCCCCGGGGGATCGGGTCTGGCTCTCAACTCGGAACCTTCCTCTCCGCCTGCCCTGCCGGAAGCTGGGCCCGCGGTTTGTGGGGCCAATTAAAGTCCTGAGGAGGGTAACCGAGGTGACGTATCGATTGCAGCTGCCACCTGACTATCGAATTAATGCGTCACTCCTCAGGCCGGTGGTGGCTGCTCCCCTCCAGCAATCGAGGGTGCCGGAGGTCCCCCCGCCCCCCCTGGACATCGAGGGGACCCCGGCGTACACTGTCAAGGACATCATCAACTCCAGACGCCGGGGAGGGGGCCTTCAGTATCTCGTGGAGTGGGAGGGGTACGGCCCGGAGGAGCGATGTTGGGTGCCGGCGAGGGACGTGCTGGACTCAAACCTTCTAGAGGATTTCCATCGCCGGCGTCCTGACCGTCCAGCTCCTCGTCCTCCGGGTCGTCCCCGAGGTCGGGGTCGACGCGCTGCTGGAGCCGCGCGTCAGGAAGGGAGTACTGTGAGAACTCCCTCAGAAGCCAGTCTACCGCCACCTGCGGGCAGGCTTCGGCGGTCGTCCTCCCCGGTCTTCTGAGCCACCAACGTTATCTTCTCCCCCTGCACACCTGGTTCAGTCTCGTCATCACTACACCTGGTGTCCATTACCTCATTAGAGGACTATTTAAGTTCCCTGTGTGTCGGGTTGTCTTTGTGTGGAATTGTTTCTATGTTACGACGCTCATTGCGAGGTCGTGGTTTCATGATACTCCGAGTGAGGAGTTATATTTATATATATATATATATATATTGTTGAGTGCGCTGCGTCGCATCTTTCTATGTTGTGTGCGTTTACGCTACACCGAGTACCAGGAGTTGTGTCCTGTATATTAAAAGGGATTATAGAACGCTCTCCGTGGTCCTGACTGGCATTCATCCTTCCGTCCACCCTAAACACCGTGACAGAAAGGCTTTCCAATAGATTTTGGAGTGTGGGAATTTGTGACCATCCAGCTAAGAAAGCATTTGTTAGGTCAGGCACTCAGGTTGGATTAAGGGTCAGGCTCAAAATTACCGTTCCAATTCATCCTAAAGGTGTTAATCGGGGTTGATGTCGGGCTTCTGTGCAGCCCACTAAAGTCCCTCCACACCAACCTGGTCAAACCCAAGTCTTTACAGACCTAGCTTTTGTGCTCAGAGGCACATTCATGCTGCAACAGGCAAAGGCTTTCCCCAAACGGTTTCCACAAAGTTGCTACATTAAGCTGAACCTTCACTAAATCTAAGGGGCCTAGCCCAAACCCAAACCTGGAGCACCAGACAATTAGCCCTATTACACCAAACTGCATAGTACCGTACACTCTGGTAGGTAGCGTTCACCTGGCATCTGCCACACCAACATTCATCCATCAGACTGACAGATAGTGAAGCATGATTCATCTCTCCAGAGACCACAGTTCCATTTCTCCGACGTTTGGCATTGTGCATCTTGATGTGAGGCTTGCATATAGCTGCTCAGCCATGGAAACCCCTATTGTGAAGCTCCCGACGCCCAGATTGTGTGCCGATGTTGCTTCCAGAGGCCGTAAGGAACTCTGTTGTGAGTGATGCAGCAGATAATAAGCGATTTGTACTTGCTTCGCGCTTCAGCAGTTGGCGGCCCGACTGTGTGAGATTGCGTGGTCAACCAGTTCGTGGCTGGGCTGTTGTGGCTTTCACTTTACATTTATAGCACTTACATTTGACCTTGGTTTGTAGGGCACAAACTCTTATCTCAGTGCCACTTTTTAAAGTCTTTGGTTCGACCCATTGTACTGCCATTGTGTGACAATTCATGGCTATGTGTAGAATTTTTTTAATTTTTTTATTTAACCTTTATTTAACTAGGTAGACATGGAGAGAAGCTGGGAATTAAACCCTGGGCATCATTCACACATAGCATGCACTCTACCACTGAGCTACACCAACACGCACCTGTAAGCAATGGGCTTGGCAGAAACACCTGAACTAATTAATTACCAGGGTGGTCCACACTACTTAATTTTCCGCTTGTTGCCTTTTTCATTGTTTTATGTGTAGTTACCTAATTGAAATGACTTCATGATTGTACCGCTGGTCTTCTGTGTTATTAATAGCTGCCACTGACCCAATTGCCCGTCATTATACAATCCTAGACTTATCTTCGTCTCTCCATTAACAACACCTGGTCCTGATTTTAATACACATTCTGTAAATATGTCCCCTGCTTGTTCCACTTGTCTCCTGTTGCTTATTGTAAGTGTTCAGTGTGTATCCTCATATCGTGCTTTTTGCACGAGATTGTTTACCTAATTTCTGGTATTTCAAAGACTCTGTGCTTTTCTGTTGTATCTGTAAAGCTGTGTGGTTCCTTGTATTTCTGATCTTTCTTGTATTTTTAACCTAACTGAATTTTTAGCAAACATCAAGGTCAAGCAATTTCTCCTCAGAACTGCGTCATGCCTTCTTGACCAATCAGGACAAATCTGTACAGAAGTGGTGAAGCACAGGTATTTTGACATGCTTTCATTCAACTAGTGTGTACAGTGTGACTTGATCTAAACACCCATTATTTTACTTAATTATAATAGGGCCTCTCTCTCAGCGATACACCGACACATCATTCTTTCGGTTCCACAGTCATTAGTCAGAATAAAAAATAAAGAACTAGAAAAATGAATTCACGGAAAACAATGATTGCATACAATTACTTACAGATTTTTCATTGCATTAATCTATAAGCTGGGGAATTTAGCTGCAAAACGTTATATCACCCAACTTAAAAAAACTTGGAGGCAAGCGTGTAATCACCGAATATCAACATATGCATTCTTCATTTTGCTTTAGTGTTTTGGCTGTTATCTTTTAGTGTCACAGCATTCCAGCAATCCAAAAAACTGCATCACAAAACAAGAATGGGGACCAGAGCAAGTGGAGGTACGGAAACAGATGCACAAAGGGTTGAGACGGAGTGAGAAAAGAAGAATGAACGAGAAAGGCAGCACTAGACTAAAAGCAAGAGAGAAAATCAGAAAATTACAGAGTAAAAAAGCGAAAATAGGGGGAAAAAGTAGATAAGTGCTAAGAGCAAAGCTTCCAGCGCCAGAAAGAGAACCTATGTACCATGACTGACTAGATTTTCTCCTGTTCTATTTCATCCTTTTCCCACCCGTTGCTTCACTTCCACCTAAATATTATGCTATTCCCTCCCCTCGAATTAAAGAGCTGCAGCAGCACTTAAGACTAGCAAGGTTATTTGAGAATACAAAGAGAAACCAATAGAAGGCCACAACACACATTGAGTCTTCTCTCTTGACAATACACGGCTCTTGACTTTCGGCAGATCCATTGGACAGCATCCCAGAAACCCTGAGAAGGTTTCCACATTACAGAGATAATTATATGTCTCTGGTGATGAATGTTTATACTACATTACATTCGAAAGCTTTCTCCTGAGTAGAGAAATAAACCAATGAAAACCACACGTCTCAGATCACACAGCCACCGTACACACCTGCCTCTGTACATGCCTGCCTCTGTACACACCTGACTCTGAACATACAAGGTCTGCCAATATGCAATTGACACAAACACACACAAGCCACCATTTTCAAAACAGTAAAAGTATGTACCAATTTCCATTAGTTATTACTGAACCAAGCTCTTCAACAAAAATAATGCATTTACTAATCTTGAAAAGTCTAAACATGATCTGTTGTACTGAAGTAATATTTTTGGTATTTTATTCTGTCTCAAACCTCTAAATGCGAAGTGAACTGCAATTCAAACACCCCACCCTATATTATAGCCTGACCCATGTGTATTAGAATGAATGAGGACTTGTCTCAGTAAGTCACTTATACTGTTAGTAAGATGATTGAGCGGCGTGGTCTCCTCATTTCGTTCTGGTCTGTAGTTTTTAGAGCTCTCTCCCTCTCAGCAGATCGTGTTTACCTGCACTTAATTTTAATTAGCAGACTAAACATTGGAGTAAATTAATAGAGGAAATTACGAGTAGGGAGGACAACCTGGTGTGTATCTGTCTGTACTTCTGTCTGCATTAAATGTTTCCTGATGCATTAAATGTTAATGATTTGCACAACTGCCAACGTGCACGTCCAGAGCGTGTACTACATTTTCCAAAAACTATGAACGTAGTTCTCACAACTCAGACTCAGTTACAGAAAATGTAACATGATCAACAATATAAGTTTGTCATGTACAGTAGCTTTATAATATTGTACTGAATTGTACTAAACAACTGTAGTGCCTCCCACAGAACGGTGTATTTAACCGTATTGCACACACATGAAATCCATGGGAATAGTTGCCTTGTATAGTGTTGCCTGTCTTCACCACTTACCAACATATTCTGCACAGAATGTTGGTCTTTGCTTGGTCTGATTTCAAAAAGCCAAAACTTTCACGCAGGGGGGTGAGGTTTTGTTGCACACGGGGAGTTTAGTGGGGTGCACTTCCTGTGTTCTGGTATACGTCTAATACATGGAACTGCTGGGGGTCCCTAAGAGAGGTTTGAGAACCACTGGACTAATAAACAGATGGTAGAGAAGTGCACAACAGTTGTGACCAGTCGGTACATAATTAACCTGAAGGCTGCCATTAGGAAAGCACTTATTCAACGAACAAAGATGCATAACATGAACCACTGAGCAATGGGAAAAAGTGATCCGGTCTGATGAGTCATCTTTCACCCTATTTCTTACCTTCAGACAGGTTTACCTTCGCAAAAGGCATTTTCGGATTACATACATAAATGTAAATAGCTAACAGGGCATGTCGCTTCATATGTCAGACTGTAGAAACGTTGTCAGGTGTAGGACATTTAATAATCACATTAGCTGTGGATCTCAATTGAGTGGGCTGGGTTTGGGCGAGGGTTGGGCCGCGTTGGTGAAGTATCAGTGGGTGAGGTATGAGAGGATGGAGTCTCAATACATCCAGACATTTATGCAGCTCTACTGATCAAAATAAGCGTGACCAAAGACCTCTACCACAAGTTGGGATGGTTTCCCCCAAAACAAGTTGGCTCACCACTGAATCTCTGAGTCAAATAGACAAGTGACAAGTTGGCTCACCACTGAACCTCTGAGTCAAATAGACAAGTGACAAGTTGGCTCACCACTGAATCTCTGAGTCAAATAGACAAGTGACAAGTTGGCTCAGCACTGAATCTCTGAGTCAAATAGACAAGTGACAAGTTGGCTCATGTTATGGATTTATTTAGATCACTTAATAAGAAACTATTGAGATAATCTATTCCTATGACAGTAACAGAAGTCACTAACATAGAGGGTCGTAATTACTCAGTCTTATAGATGTTGTTTAGGCCAAAAGGCACAGAGGAAAGAATGTTTAGGATAAACCTTCTGTTCCACTGGAATTAAGTTTTATGATATGGGACACATGGGTATTGATCTGTTGACCTCAAGAAAGGTCCTGGGGAGGAAATAGATGTCACTAAGTAACTTTGAGGTGCCGGCTTGGCTGTTAGGAATTGTATGGGACATTGTGTATCTTCCTTCCTTTTGACAAGCCTAGACACTTCTTTATTTCCCCTATCTAATTATCAAAGGTACCCTGTGGTCATCTAAGAGAACCATCTGTTCACCCTATATACTGTTTAGGTTTTGGTGTGTCAAGTATGTGCCTTACTGATTCTCTATAAATACTGTGTGAACTTCTGTCTCATCAGGTCAGTCTGATCCAGCACAGGTTATTGTCCTGTTGTCTGATGAAGACTTTCCTCAACCCTGTTCTTTAAGCTTGCTATAGGCATTGATCTGATCAATGCAAATGCTATACCTGGATTTGAGAAATGGTTTCTTACTTGCAATTAAACCTGTTAAAAGTGTCAACTGTAACATACTCTCGGGCGTCTTACTTTAAGTTCAAATTCAGTGATTGAAGTCTAAATTTCCACGACACTCACCACTGAATCTCTCTGAGTCAAATAGACAAGTGACAAGTTGGCTCACCACTGAATCTCTGAGTCAAATAGACAAGTGACAAGTTGGCTCACCACTGAATCTCTGAGTCAAATAGACAAGTGACAAGTTGGCTCACCACTGAATCTCTGAGTCAAATAGACAAGTGACAAGTTGGCTCACCATTGAATCTCTGAGCGTGGATCTGAACAACTGTGTCTCAGAAGATTCCCTTCATAACTGTAATTTGAAATGTGGAAAAAAGACAAAACAAACTGACTGTGAGTACCATCTGTGTGAGTACTGACTGTGTGAGTACCATCTGTGTGAGTACTGACTGTATGACTACCAACTGTGTGAGTACTGACTGTGTGAGTACTGACTGTGTGAGTACTGACTGTGTGAGTACTGACTGTGGGTGTACAGACACTGTGTGAGTACTGACTGTGTGAGTACCAACTGTGTGAGTACTGACTGTGTGTGTACAGACACTGTGTGAGTACTGACTGTGTGTGTACCAACTGTGTGAGTACTGACTGTGTGAGTACCGACTGTGTGAGTACCGACTGTGTGAGTACCAACTGTGTGAGTACTGACTGTGTGAGTACCTACTGTGTGAGTACTGACTGTGTGAGTACCAACTGTGTGAGTACTGACTGTGTGAGTACCAACTGTGTGAGTACTGACTGTATGAGTACCAACTGTGTGAGTACTGACTGTGTGAGTACCGACTGTGTGAGTACTGACTGTGTGAGTATCAACTGTGTGAGGCAAGTTGAAATCTTGTGCCTAATAATTAGGCTACACACGAAATTAGTCCAAGGCAGCAACTCTATTAATTCAACAAATATTGTTCAGTTGCCTCGATGAGCCATTATACTGGACATTGCTTATAGTAGCAAAAATGTTCTTAATAGCTCATTATGACAATCGTTAGTCTTGCGTAATGGCTAATGCATCTCTCTCCATGAGTGAATGAATGATGAAGGAGAAACTGATCATAAT